CATGCCCGACAACTGTTTGGTGAATTGCCCGAGCTAAAAGTTGATGCCCCTTCTTCTTTGAAGCAATGGATTCAGATATAGAGTGCATATACGAGCACTATGTTGAGTCTTCCGACTCGTTCGACGAGGAGGACTACACGGATGAGAAGGCAATGATGCAGGCAGTATTTGCAGACGCGGAGTGTGCGGTGAAGCATGCTCTTAATTTCAAGGGGTCAATTAAGGGTCATCGAGTGCTCAACCACAACCAGGCACGCGGCCATTTGACGCTGATGGACGACTACTTTGCCCCCAATGCCCTCTTTGCTGACAATTTTCGTCGGTGCTTTCGCATGCGCAGAAATTTCTTCGATCGTCTTTACCATGGTGTCCGGTTCTTTGATGACTACTTCATCTTGAAGAAGGACGTCGTGGGAAGGATTGGGTTCTCTGGTTACCAGAAGTGCACGGCTGCACTATGGATGATTGCATATGGCACTGTTGCTGATTAGTGGAACGAGTACCTACGGATGTCTGAGAGCGCATGCGGATATGCCATAGTCAGGTTTGCAACTGCCATGGTGGTAGAGGTGCTTGGACCTCAGTACTTGAGAGAACCAACTGTGGCAGACACCGAGAGGCTCTTGGCAATCTCGAAAGTAAAAGAGCGGCCAAGTTTGCTCAGATCTCTTGACTGCATGCATCTAAATGGAAGAACTGCCCAAAACCTTTCCAAGGCAACATCATTCTTGAAGCAGTTACATCACACAATCTTTGGATTTGGCACGCTTTTTTAGGCATGCCCGGGTCTCACAATTACATCAATGTGCTGCAGCGATCGCCATTCTTTGCTAGGCTGACTGAAGGAAAAGCTTCTACTTGCCACTATATTGTCAATGGGCATGAGTACAACATGGGCTACTATTTGGTTGACGGCATCTACCCTTCGTAGGCTATTTTTTTCAACACCATCTCTAACCCAAATGACCAGAAAAAGTCTCACTTTGCCCAAAGACAAGAAGCAGCTACAAAGGATGTTGAGAGAACATTTGGAGTTCCGCATGCACGTTTTGCAGTTGTTCGTGGACCTGCTAAACAATGGGATTGGGCAACCTTGTGGGAGGTGATGACATGTTGTGTGATCATGCACAACATGAACAGGAATATGAAGGTGATGATGCTGCCGCAGGTCTTGAATTTGAGAACATGGGTGATCCTATAGAACTTTCCGACCAGAATCCGGCCACATTAGAAGAGTTAGTTCAAATGCATCAACAAATTTGACATCGAGCAACTAAAGGAAGTTCTGATTGAGTATCTGTGAACGGTTAAGGAGGATAGCAGTGTTGGAGTGCAATATTTAAACTTCTTTAAATTAGAACTACTCCTGCATTTAAACTATTTTGGATTATATACGCGGCTATTTGATCGAGCGGACATAAAAAACTTGGCCGAAGTAGTACTTGACGGCCAAGTTGCGGAGCGCGATAGCGAGCTCGTGATCGTTCTAGGCGGTGGCGATACGGTCGATGGCACCTTCTTCTTCGTTGGCCACCGCGCGCTACGCGGCGACGAGCTTCTCATCTGTGGTGCATCATCTCTTGATGTGCGGCAAGATGTGTTCGTCGAGCACATCGAAGCCGGCCCAAGGGTTTCGCCCGCTGCTCCGGGAGAGCCGGCCGCGCTACTGCGCTTGCCTCGATCTCCATGGCACCACGACACGACTGGATCTACCAGCCTTCGTGTCGTGTTGCTCGCGCTTGCTTGGCTACCCCGGCTTCCACCAGCACGACCGGCCATCGATATTGTGAAGAAGGGGGGAAAGCAAAAGAGGGGAGGACACAATCTCTCGCCGGAGCAAATCTAACATGACAGCGAAGGGATCCCGGGGCTAACCCTAAATGCCCCAGGTGCCGTGTATACATCGGCGGAGGGGCCGCATGTCCAGTACGCCGTATATTTTTTTTCACCAGCCGATCGACCGATATGCAGGATCTATTCAGACCGTCAAAAACGCAAACCCCGCATGTCTGTTTGAACTTTCCGGGCCGAGGCCTTTCACGGGATCTACTAGGGATGCTCTTAGTTGGCGACGTGTAAGCAACAGTTCATCTTAGGTGCACTCGATCCATCTATTCCACTAGCTCAGCGGCGACAAACCTGACTCGAGATGCTACTACAATCTCCGTTGTCGACCGATGCACAGCCAGCAACAGTTGATCGTAGCGTAGGGGCGCCACTCTACTTGACTATACCGCTCCAGAAGGAAAAAAAAAAAGCTGAGCGGCGACAAATCACGTACGCACGCGTAGTTTCATCCACGGGAGCTAGCCAGAGCCAGCGGTCGGCGGTTCCGCCTTCCGCGTGGGACGCGCGCCCCCATCGGGACGAGACCAACCGCCCAGCAACGGAAACGGCTCGGGGCGAGGGAAGAGCAGAGAAAACAAGGACAGCGACGTCGCCGGCCGGCCGAGGAACCGGATCCGCGGCGGCGTGGCGCGCCCCCGTTGGCCGGGCGACTCCCGCCCCCCCAATCATTCCCGCTTTGTAAAACGCGCGCGGGCCGAGGGCGCGGGCGCCAACCGGGCCGCCCCACGTCGCCGCGGCCGCTCCACCGCGCGCGCGCGCGCCCGGTCGCGTCCACGCGATGCAACGCGTGCCGGCGACGGGGACACGCGAGAGGAGAGCGCTCTCCCTTCCCTTTCTCCCTCCCTGGACACAACAGAGCTGCTCAATTCCCCTCAGTAGATTGCTCCCGTGGGCAACTTCATCCCCCCCAAAAAAAGATTGCTCCCGTGGGCCGTGGACTGGTCGGTTATGTGCGTGCTTATCTTGACGATTGACCCCTCAAAAAAAAAAATCTTGGCGATTGACATTTCGCACGTTGCGAATTATATGGCGTACAAGCAAATACCGGTGACGTATTCCTCCTGGCCTAAAATGTGGCCCGTGCGTTCCGTCTTCCGTGCTCGCTCGGGCAAACCGCTGCCGCCGGACGCCGGCGTCGGAACCGGCCGGCGGCTCCGCATGGCCCGGCGGTGTCAGGGGTGGCGGGCAGGTGGAGGATTTGCAGCCACGTTTTTCGGCGCCAATCAGCCACCGTCTTGTCACCCTCGCCCGAATATGCCCTGCCCTGCCTCCCCTCCCTTTTCTTTTTAAATAACAGCAACTGCTTAAATGGACTAATAATGCATGCACTGGCATCATATTGTCATATTATACGTTCTGTGTAGCCTGAAACCACACCCACCACAGTTTCTTTACCAATTCATGTCGCCAGAGAATCATTTTCTCCACCCTAAAGGCTCGTAATATTTTTGCTTTCTTCCGCCAATCCATCATCTGCAATAGATAGCTTTTCCCCAGCCTTTAGGGGATAAAAAATAATTATTATTAAACACACACTGACAATAAAACCCGAACAGCTAGAGACAACGCAGTGCCACAGCTGAAAGCCTCCACAAAAATTGAAAAGCATACACATGAGTCGGCATGACATAATCTAAAACACGCAGTAGTGGCACAAACGTACACAAAACCATCAGAGAAAAACAATTTAAAAAGAAAGGAAGAAAGAAAGAAAAATTGACCCAATAAGGCCAGGCCAGCTCACGCTCCTCCTCTACTCCCTGCCTGACCTGACCTGACCTGACCACGCCTCACGGATTTTTCCGACGCCCCAACAGAAAAGAGAGAGGGGAGGGAGGGGGGGAGGGCAGACGAAAATAATCATCTCCTCTTCTCTCCACGGCCTCCCTCACCACCACCACCTCCCTCTCCTCCTCCTCCCCGCCTCCCCGACAGATTTCCCCAACCTCGCCGCGCAGAGGCGGCCCGCGATCGCTCGGGAGCTCCCCGGATCCCGCCGCGAGGGCGCGGCCATTCGCCGCGGGAAGGGAAGCCTCTCTCTCTCGCGCGCGCGGTCTGGGCTCTGCCGCGCGGCTGCTGCTGACGCCGTGATCCGCGCGGGGTCCCCGGGGGAATGTTCTACCTCAAGCTGCCGGGCGGCGCGGAGTTAGGGTCCCTGCGGGGGGCGGCGGGGCTCTGATCTGCCCCGCGGCGGCGGTCGAGGCCCAGCCGGCCAGCGTCGGGGGAGTCCATTCGTTCGGCCGGCCATGGCGCACGCGGAGGCGGACCCGAGCTGCCTCGAGAGCTTCGAGCTGTACGAGACCGACTCGGTGAGCGCCCTCGCCCCCCAAAATCACATTGCGCCCGCGGGCTTTGTTATGTGCCACGCGCTTCCTCGTTTGGTTGCCTCCTGCTTTGCTGATGCTCGATTCGGCGACCCACCCTGCGCGAGCTTCGGGCGGGCGGGCGGGCGAGCTTGTGGTTACGGAAATGGCCGAGCTACCGGGCCGTTTGTTTCGGAAGGGGGCTGGCGTCGCGCGTGGCTTCGGTTGTGGACGACGGCACGGGTTGTGGCCACCTGGAATCTGGATGGTCTCCATGCTGCCACGGCCGAGGCCGAGATTCGGAATTGCGATCCTGATGTTAATCAGCTGCAGCTGCTTGTGATATGGGTTTGCTTGGGGTCATTGCGTGACACTTCTGTGATTGGGAATTGCGTTCACGACCTGTGCTCGTGATTTTGGTTTGCTTGGGGTTGAGGGGGTGCAGGCTGACTATCGCGAGAGGTGCTTATGAAGTTTCTAGCTGTCTGTGTGATGGTGTTGTTCCATTCCGTGCCGGGAGATACGGAATTGTGTTTCTCCTGTTGCGTTTTGTTCATCTCTGGTTAGAAAATGGAGGAGGCTTTCTTTGTTTCTAGATAGCTTTGTAGGTTAGTGTTGGAGTTCTGATTCCAGGACGAGAGCCTTGTGCCTTTTCTTTTAGTTTCTAAATCTAATTTCCAATATTTAATCACCGCTGCTTTTGTGTGATCTATTACTGTTTATCTACCGAACTGCTATCTTACTGTAGACTTATTTTCAGTTTGGCAACAATCGAATAGCCAAAAAAATCGGTGTGACGCTGCTGAGTTGAGGGGAGACGGGTTAGAGTCAGAGCTGGCAGGGTCGCGGATGCGGTTTCGCAGCCATAGCAAGGTGGATGCAGAGGTGATGCGAGTTGGGGAGTTAGGGTCTGGGGGTATGTATCACCAGAGGCTTGGGGGTCACGAGGAAATGCTTGATCGCCTCCAGTCTTCATGGCAGTAGAGCCAGCGGAATGGAGGAAAGAAATGGAGAGTTGCGGGGAGAGAGAGAGTTTTGGTTGGGGTGGGCCGTTCGGTTCTCTGATCCTATGGTGCAAAAACATCACTGTTGGCCAATTGGGAGTCAGTCGATGCTAAATAAACACTATTTATTTTGAGGTTTTGCTCATTTCTGGTGTGAATGCCCACTCTTTGGACATTTGTTATTCCAAAGTAGAAGATTCTTTTTACTCTGCCCACTGTGCGGCGTGTATGTTTGACCATTATTTTTTGTAAAAATTGACAGATAAATTTGTGCAACTATTTTTCATGACAAACCTTATGGTATGATTTGCACCTAACCGTTGTATATTTTAATCCATTAATGTGATATATGACAAGTTTGAATGGGGACGTGTTCCAAACATCATCTATCTTGGAACAGAGGTAGTTGTAGTTTTATTGACATCATATAACATGATGCAAGTAGCTTTGCTTTTGATGTTGTTCATCATACTTAAATTGTGAATTTTTTTTGCAGAAATTTTATATTCTCGGAACTAACACTGACAAAACATTATGGAGATTACTCAAGATTGATAGACTGGAGCCATCAGAGCTCAACATAGATGAGGATTCTACCATGTACTCACACAGTGAATATCTTGATCTACGAAAAACTCTAGATGAAGACCATAGGTCAACTGGTGGACTCAATTTTGTTACAAATTGTTGTGGAATCATTGGTAAATTATCCCATCTTTCTCTGATAATGATACCATGCTAATAGATGGCAGTTCTTTTTGTTGTGACTATGCATCAATGATAAATTTCCCATACAGGTTTCATTAAGTTCCTTGGGCCTTATTACATGTTAATTATCACCGAGCAGAGAAAAATTGGTGCTATATTTGGCCATGCAGTTTACCAAGTTACCAAGACTGCGATGATCCAGTTATCTAATTCCAAAATGAAGCAAACGCTTCTAAATTCCAACGATGAGAACAGGTATGTTGTATCCCACATATCAATGATATCCCAGACTTCACATCAGTTCACAAAATTTGATTGTTGGCAATATTTTCTATTTGTGAAGCATTTGATTTTGGGTTAATTGGATAAATGCCACTCAAATTCTGGCAATTCTGAGAAATGCCACTGCAATTTCCAAACTTTGAAAAATGCCATTGCAAATTTTGCAAACTTTGAAAAACGCCACTGCAGACTTTGAAAAATGCCACTGCAAATTTTGCAAACTTTGAAAAACGCCACTGCAGACTTTGAAAAATGCCACTGGAAATGGCATTTTTCAAAGTTTGGAAATTGCAGTGGCATTTCTCGGAATCGCCAGAATTCGAGTGGCATTTATCCAATTAACCCGTTGATTTTTTGTTTCTTGATATTTAATTATTTATTTCCTATACCCATATGCAACACTTTATGTGTCCTTATAAAGCGATGTTTACTATGTGTGCAGGTACAAGAAGCTCTTGCAGACAATAGATCTTAGGAAAGACTTCTTTTTCAGCCACTCGTACCATATCATGAGAAGTCTCCAGAAGAATTTTAATGATCCACAGGCAGGATGGGACCTATATGACACAATGTTTGTATGGAATGAATTTCTAACACGAGGGGTTCGTAACATTCTGCAAAGTACCTGCTGGACTGTTGCGTTAGTCTATGGTTTCTTTAAACAGGTATATACCCCATGAGATTGATCTCTTTTAGTGATGTCATATTCAACACGAGAACTTGTGTCTACGGTAGATTGCATCCATAAAATGGATCCTTTATCTCAAGTACTGTCTGCATGGTATGACAGATATTGGCGCATTAAATTTTCTCCCTGTTTATTTTCTTCATTTGTTTTACTACTTAGTGAGGCATTTTATTTTTATTTTCTGATGCTAGACTAGTAATAGTACCATGTCTTCAAATTTACTTTCCACACTTACAAATGTAAAATCATGCCATAGTGAAGAGGAGAGCCTACAAATATTTAGATACAGTTATAAGATGTGGCAAAACTTTATACCAAATGTTTTATCTTTTGTAAGATATGCATCGATTGTGAATTCATTCTGTTCTATTAGAAAAACTTATCTAATGTAGACGTAGCAGAAAACACTCGCTGTACGATTAAATAACTTCCTTTACTCGTAAGTGCTTCTTAGGAAACCATTTTCTTAATAGTATAATTATTTGATTTGACTTAATTAATTCAAGGATAAAATGAAAATATCTGGGAAGGACATTATGTTGACTCTCATTGCTAGACGATCGAGGCATTATGCTGGAACCAGGTTTGTCACTTGTGAAACCCTTTATTCTTATATATTTTTCCTGTTAGTTTGTTATCTGATTTGAACGGGTGAGATTCAAAAGGAAATATGGACCATTGAATTGCTTGATCTCGCCACTCGTATTGAACAGGTATTTAAGGAGAGGTGTGAATGAGGAGGGCAGAGTAGCAAATGATGTCGAGACTGAGCAACTTGTTTTTGATGACACACTTGGACCTAGGCAAATAAGCTCTGTTGTGCAGAACAGGGGTTCTATTCCTCTATTCTGGTCCCAAGAGACATCAAAGCTTATTATTAAGCCTGATATCATATGTAAGCATTGAAATCCTTCTTTGCTGCATGGAGTATCATTCAGTTGTTTTAATTTGCTTGTTCTTTCAGTGCATGAGAAGGGCAATAATTATGAAGCAACCAGGCTTCATTTTGAAAATCTTAGGAGGAGATATGGAGATCCCATCATCATCTTAAACTTGATTAAGGTAAGTCCCACACTGTTATTATGCGGTGAGACTTCTGATGGATGCTTCATGCCTTCATCCTTGAATGCGTGCAGTCGACTTGCTTTAGTTTTGACTAAAAATATCTTCGTGGGTGTTTAGACCAGCTATGTGAAATAGTCCGGGTAGAAATGACTTAGAAAAATACATCATTCTGCTATCTTGACATATTCCATTGTTCCGTTAGGTGTATTTACACTTATACATATTCCACACCGCTCTGCTACTGTTCACTCAATGTTTAGTGCAATGTCGAACGATTGGAATACCCATAGGCCCACCAGTAAGTATGTGCTCTTATTCCAACCCTGACTCATTGTAAGTATTCCACCCATGTGGCTGCTTCTAGGCAAGCATATTATACCCAAGTTTGTAGTGTAAACATCTGTTGCTGTTTTATGCTACGTTTCAAGTTCCTCTCCTTGCTTCTTAGCACCGGCGGTGAGGCTGAGCAAGGCACCACTAGTGGCCTCCCCGACTGGGCCGGCGAGGAGAGTATGGAGTCAAAGAGTGTTAACGGACATTAACTGAATCTAGAAAGAGCAGAGTGGCATATACATAGATACATCTAAAAGGAACAGTGGCATGTGCATAGTTCATAAAAAAGCTACAGCAGAACACAAGTTAGTAGTTGAACTAATGGCAAATGTGTAAAATCCCCTTGTTAAAATTATAATCTTAAGAGGTTTCAAAAATAGATTACAATAGATACATCTAACAGAACAGTGGCATGATCAAAGTTAGTTTTGGAGACCTTCACTTATGTGGTTGAAGGTTACTTTAAAAGCTCATGCTCTCACCTTCTTTTTTGCTGCTATGTCAAGACACGCGAGAGGAAACCGCGGGAATCCACACTTCGTCAAGAATTTGACAAAGCAATAAAGATTATAAATAATGGTCTACCAGTCGAAAATCATTTGAGGTTTTTACATTGGGATCTTAATAAAAGCACTCGAAGGTATCAATTCTTTGTGCTGTACACCTTCCAGTTGTGGTTTATTAGATGCTTTTGACGTGCATTACTGAAGCGAGTTTTATTTCAGCAAAAATGCAAATGCCCTCCAAGTACTTATGAAAGTGGCATTCGAAGCTCTGAACTTGACAGAATTCTTTTATTGTCAAGTTTCCTCAGCTCAAACACCCGGGAGCTCCCTTAATTTACATACTCCATTGTAAGTATTTGTTATTCCGTAATGGTGTCTTTGCCATTTAATTTGAGTGGCTGTTATCTTTTACCTCATGAATAGGATACTGCCTTAATCCAAAGACAAAACATTTTTGTTTGTGTTATCTCTGATTTTTCGTTTCACACCTTACAGGAATGGTTGTGGTTTTCGTGGATGTGATGACAAAAATGACGGTGGCAACACAGACTGTATCGATAATAATGGTGACATATCCCAAGAAGATACATGTGGTAGTTCTGATACCTCCACTAGTGGAATTGCAGAAGATGTAGCCACTAACAATGGATCGACAACAGTAAAGCCCCCCAAATTACAAAAGGGTGTATTGCGCACGAACTGTATAGATTGTTTAGACCGCACAAATGTTGCTCAGTATGCCTATGGTTTAGCTTCTCTTGGACACCAGTTGCATGCACTTGGTTCTGTAGAATCTCCAGAGCTTGATTTAGACTCCCCCTTGGCCCACCATTTGATGCACTTTTATGAGCGGATGGGTGACACACTTGCTTTGCAGTATGGTGGTTCGGCTGCACACAACAAGGTACTCCTACAATGTAATCTTGTTGTTTCAGTAATTTCACTTGTGGTATGTTGCTTCAGCATGTGAGATAAGCTTCAGTTCCTTCACTCACGTCAATAGAAAGACTCAGAATGAAATAGGTTTGATTATACTGCATATATTTTTTAGGGTTTCTCTAGTTTTGCTCTTTATTTTAGGTTTAGTTTTCAAAGTGAACCAATTATACCAGGATTGTTTCAAGAAAATGATTTGAACCATGTATCTAAGTGGATTTAAAAAAATTGATTTTGGTTTTGAGGACTAGTATCCAATCCGTATACGAGAACTTGTTGCTTAAGTTGGGTATGACTCATAGCTTGAGGACAAAAAAAAGGCAGTCGTTTCACTGAGTTATGCTGATTGATGAGCCTCAGAAGGTCCAATATGACATGTTTTCTTCATGTTCAGCTGTTTGTTGAGCACTCATCTGATGAACCTACATGTGGTTTTATCTTTTATGTACAGATATTCTCTGCAAAGAGAGGGCACCTTAAGTTTGCTATTCAGTCTCAAGAATTCTTCAGGACACTACAGCGATACTACAGTAATGCCTATATGGATGCTTACAAACAGGCAGCAATAAATTTGTATGTTTGGTTAAGCTCAGTGTTCACTACACATCCCTTTATATACTTTTAATAAGAAATAGTATGTACTGAGTTTGTTATACTTGTTGTTTTTGCGTTCTTAAAATTGTAGATTCTTGGGTTACCACCGACCGCAGCAGGAAAAATTTGCACCTTGGGAGTCAGAGTCTGTTTCTGGGGAGAATGTCCTTGATGACAAAACAAGGTAAACTTATATGGTGGTTATGATGGTTTTCTTGAATGCATGTGACAAGACCACAAGACATAAGCTTTTCCTTTTGATTGAACTACTAGAACAAGTACCCCCAATTTGGGTCACACGTGGATGTTGACCTTATACGTGAAGTGCATTTATTTGTTGGCTAACAGCAACAGCATAATTAGTACAGTGCTACTAGTGCTATTAACAAGAACGGGCCAGTAGTGCTTGCATGAGAATATGGGACCAGAAAGTAATTTAGACAAGTGGGTGCTAACTCAACCCTAGATTGTTCACTTCAGAAGTTCTGACCAGCAGAGTTTGATGGTTATCATTTTTTAATTCTGGAATTAAAAACATGATGCTGGTAAAACTTGTAATGTGTAGGGCATCTCATTATTGTGATAATATAAGGTGATTGTCTTGTGTCATTCCACAGTTAGCGACCAAGGAGAAAACAAAAGATCCCATCCAGTGCATACAGCTAGTTTCACCTGTGCTCTTGAAGTTAGGACAGAAATATGTGTTTTTAGTCGTCTCATTTACCTTTTTGTAAGGGCAGTGTCTCCCTGTTTTGTTACTTTTTGTTCTTGCTATTACACTCAAATCCTTGTGTATTAGGTTCGCTAGATTTGATGTCCTGAAACAGAGTGAGTTGTCTATTGTTGAAAACAGTACAACCTGGTAAAAAACATCCGTACAAAATACCTTTCCGTAGTGTTTCCAAACTGATCTTAGGGCCACCTCATTAAAGAATTGTCTATACTTTATTTTATCCGCACATGCATTTTGCAAATCAATAAAATCCATCTTATCAATTGTCTGAGTTGTATATTTGTCACAGTCAACTTATAAAAAGGTCAAGATCAGATGGCAGCATTCTTCGTAAAAGCAACACTTCTCTGTCCAGCAATGGTCCAAATGGAATTTCGACACCAGGATTTAGTGATTTCGAAAATGAGCTACAACCTCCTAACTGCCGGTCTGGTTCGGTGCATGATGCGGTGTCAAAATTAAGGTTTGTCTGAGTTCTGGTTCTGGAACTTCACCTTTCTATTTTCTGTCAAGAGCATATACCAATGTGCAGAAATTAACATTTAATACTTATGGTATGATTCTCTCTTTTCTATTGAAAACTACTGCAGGTATACTCCAACAGTGCCTCATATTAAGTATACCAGTTGCGAGCTTGACTATGGCAACTTTTCTGGGGATTCAAATTTCCTTGATCTTGACTGGCTTTCAGCTTCAGACAATGGAAGGTTGTTCATACTGCCTGCCTTCCCTTGTTGATCCTGTATCCATGTCTTTGAATGTATCAAGCTTTTTATTTGTTGCATTTGTACACATGCAGTCATGCACACAAAATGTGGAACAAAGAATCATTCGTATAACATTTCCATTATTTCTGTTGGTATTATTCTACATTTATCATTGAAGAATAAATAGTTAGCTTGCAAAAATGGTTGCTTTGAACACAATCTTTAGATCCTTTGTTTGTACCAGATTTCTATAAATAAGAGGCAACCTAAAATATTGTAATCGTTGCCATGTGTTCTCTGATCAGTCTGTTGAAGTGTCCATCCAATGCTCACTGAAACTACACACTGAACTGCGATATGTTAAGAAGAGATAGTCACAACCTTGAACACTCTCTTATTCCATTAGCAAGAATTTTATATAGGAAGTAGAGTTATGGGTCATACAGGCCATGTAGGCCATGCCATCTTTTATACTTATACCGAACAAGATCTAGGATGAATATTTTTAATAAGTTCTTGCTTTATTTGCCCATTTGTTCTACTATCCCTAATTGCAGTGACGTGACCATGGAACTGCTCATTAATACTGCACTTTCAAAATTGATGTCAAGAAGATTTTTCTGTCCTTCTCACTATATTTATGTTGCACATTATGTTTGACAGTTTGAGCAGATCAAGAGCCGTAAGTACTCCTAACGTGAATGATAATGGTGAACGTGGTGTAACCCCTGGGATAACGGTTAGTGCAATTGATCAATCTAACAATCCTACTTGCTATTTGTGCATTGCAATCATGTTTCACAAAACTTTCTTCTGCCCTAATTTCATGTTCTCTTTCGTTTTATCTCGTTTGGAAGTTCATGCTCCCTCATCATGCATGAGCATTTGTCCACTCAAAAGAGAACATGACAACAACCGTCATTCTGGGATAACACCTGTTCTCCCCTTTCATTTGGTAAACAGTAGAAGTGTTTCCTTCTGGAACTGCGAACCTGTACTTGTTGACTACAGATGGAAAAAGTTTGCTTCAAAGCATGATCATTGCATTGGCTGAACATCATTTAGATCATTTTGGGTGAAAATATACACACGGTTGATATCATTTTGTCCAACAATTAGTCATTTCATCTGAAATTTTCAGGAAGATCACCTGGCAGAGATACACGCTCAGGGGTTATCTCACAATTTCCTGCAATGGGTTGATGAGGGAGAGGCTTTTTGGTACTGATATCATATCATGTATATTCAAGCTACAGGATGGCTCCCAACACTTACAAGACTATTGTTGCGAGGAGAAGCCATTAGCATAATCACTGTGATTTGTGATCTCGCATTGTCACAGCCATCCAACTAGTCCTCTAGCGAAGTGTAAAATCCTCTTTGTTTGCTGTTGACCAGCTATTTCTTCTAGGGGTGAGTAGATAGGCATTGTTCTTATTTTTCTTAAAGGAAAGAAAGAATGTAGGTAGTGTGTATTATTCTTTGGAAAGTTCCATCGCTCGT